AGAAATACTGAAATAAAAGAAATGGAGGGTTTCAGAGAGAGAAGAAAGACCAACAAACGTACGCATAGGTGGTGGCAGCGGCAGTAGTAGGTGAGAAGCTACACTAAGCATTGGTTCATGATTATGTATAGTATATATATAAAAGCATACACATCTTACTTAATTCGAAGATAATCTTGACAAAAATCAAATGAAAAATATACTCAATATGCACACTTTAGTATACATAGCCACACACACACACAAACAAACACACTACAATTTCAACCATGAGAAGAAGAGAATTAAGCAGGTGAAAAGTAATCAAAGTAAAAATGAATAAATATTAATGAAGTTTTAGCTTTTTATATAAGAAAGACCGGGTGATTGTTTGAAGAAAAATACACATGCATATGCATATATACATGTATGTATACACACACACATTGTATTGTTACATATTTTCTTGTTCAGTATAGTTGACACTTCAGTATAACAGATAGACGAATCTGATTCCACAATTTTCTCATCTGCAAAATAAAAAACTTTTTTTCAAACACTGCATGATATATATATTACATATTCAAGAATTTGGTTTGTGAGGATTACATTTGTTTATACGAGTTTGACTACCTATTGGAAGACATGAAATGATTAGCTGTCTTTCATCATAGGCGCCTGCGCTCTATCTCCCGTGTGAAGTGGTATAATAAGGTGAGCAATATTCAGGTTAGGCATCGAGTGCTAGGTAAACAGGGGAAATCAATCGACGAGGCTGTGAAGCTACATCGACTGAGATGTTTAGGACATGTGTTACGTATGCCTAGTCATCGCCTTCCTCGACGGACAATGTTAGCTGATATAAGGTTAGGCTGAAAAAGAGCTAGTGACGGTCAAACCAAAACATGGCTTCATCAGTCAATGAAATCCACAACAGTTAGTTTAAGCCAGTCACGTAGGAAGGTGTAGACATCCTGACTGGTTGGGGTCCTCGGGACGGTAAAACCAATCAAGGCTGAAGACAATTGATGATATGGCTCAAAATCGTTTTCAGTGGCGCAGAAGCATCCACTCCTTGTGACTTATGGTTTCTAATGAAACTGCTTTGTTCTTCGTTATTACTCCTCCTTTGTCTCACACCTCTGCTTACTGTCTCTATTATGCTTTTCTTGTACTTTCTTCTCTTGCTTTGTGTGCTACATGGAGTATGGCGACTTGAACTTCCGCACATTTGTGCAAAGTTCTATGTCGAAAACAGGCAGACAAGCAGACCGATTGATATCAGTTAGAGAACCATTGAAAAACAGCGAGGAGTATTGAACAGCTGTTTCATCCTAGTTTTAGAATCATCGGTAGTACGCACTCACTGGGGTTCGAATCCAAGACGTTCTGGTTTACAAGGTAAACTCTGATTCTCGCTAGTGACTTGCTACAGGACGGAGTTTCCTGGAACTCTAGTGAGAAGTCGTGACCAGTGAGGTCCGCCCAATCAATTGTCAGGATGGATTTCCCACCGACGACATGGGTTGGGGTCGCGCTAAATCATGAATTGGTATAAGTTATAATTCATGCAGTGGCCATTGAATCAGGTTCCAGTAGCTGAACGGAATACGAGCTTGCCTTGAAACCTGAAGGCCTGGGTTCGAACCTTGACGGTGGGTGCGTACTCCCGATGATCCCCAAATTCGAATGAAACAGCTGTCCGGTACTCCCTAGTTTTCAATGGTTCTCTAACTGATATTAATCCGTGGTCAAATATATATATATATATATATATATCCATTCGTATGCTTCCAAGCGAATGCTAGCCTCATGTCCAATCCTTCACCTTTTCCAGGACAGTAAACCTAGGTGGGGTTTGCAAGTGTACCAACCGGAAGTCGAAGCCACGCCACGTGAGTGGCTGGCGAGCATTCTATTACTGAGTTACCCGCAGTGCTTAAAAAACTAATGATTATGAATTGAATTTACTAAACAGAAACGGTTATGATTTACTGGGTAACGAAAATCCTTTCTAGTAAGATATTTAGTAGTACTTAGTAGATAATGGTAAAAATCCTGTGATTGAATTCCCCATCTGTTAGTTAATATTTATCACTGAAGAGAAATCTGTAACCTCATGAATTCTGTGCAACTAGTTTATTTTCTGGAAACTAATGAGGCTGTCATTAAACTCTCTGAATCACAAATGGAACTGAACACACATTTGGAGACTAACTAACACGTGAACGGGGAATCCAACGTCACTACAAATTGCTACACTTTGGAGTAGTAAGTAAGAAATAACTATTATACGATAACAGACGAAAACAATTATGAAAATGCAGCGAACCAATCCATAGTAATTCATATCAACATCATTATATCGTTAATATTCAAAAAGCCACAAAACAGGGGCAATAGATATCCCCCTTTCAGACTAAAATCGATACCTGCAAACTTGATGAATTGCTGGTATATTTTTTTTATCTGAGTACTTCTAATTACTTTCTAGAGTGAATCCAACTTAAGCAGACACAGTTGATTGACAAAAGCGATGGCTTAATGTGTATAATATATATCTTAGTAACATAAAATGTGAAGCCTCACTAGCGAGCTGATCGACTTAACTCCTTTACATATTACTCTATGCCACAAAATTTATTTACAGTACTTTACACAAAAACTGAGATACAGAAATACAAAGGGAAAATCTAAAGAGGTGAATGTATATTCAACTATTTAAGTCTATGCGGTAAGTGTTAAGTAAACGATTTTCATGGAGGTATTAACTGACAAAATTACCTTCTTATAGGACTAACTTCTTTGTAGGGTGCATGAGTGGAAATTTCTGTACCTTCATCGTTGAATACCATGCAATCCGCCAGAGACACTGTTACTACCAGTTGTCAATGCATGGCTAGACAATAATCCAGATGACTGATTGATATCCGTTTTATTGTTAGAATCTTTCATAACTGGACGAGTAGAATTATTAAAATCCATAGCATGACTACGTAGAACATTGTCTGAACATTCAGATTTACCAGATAGATTATTACCATTATTATTATTGTTTAGTTTATTAAGAACATGTGTAGTAACTGCACTTCCACTACCACTTCCAGCTGCACTAGCACCAGTTCCATTTTGACGACTTGCAGAACTTGTACTGCTTGTACCTATGATAGCATATAATATGCGAACAATGAGAAGGGAAGAAAAAAACAGCAAAACAGAAATGTTGTTGTTTGGGATGCATACAAATGCAGGGGAAACAAAAAAAACTTCCACATGAAACACGATACAATAACACTTAAATACCAGATATGAATTTATAAGGAGAAACGCTTTACCATGAGAAATAAGAGCACAGACCATTGGTTAACAAGGGTAGTGTAATACGCAATGACTGGCGTAATGCATAATAGACTTTTTATCATTGTTTTTTGTATGAAGAGGGAAGGATTGTCAGAAAAAACGCCAGTCAAAGACTGAGTGGTTTTATTCCGGATTCATACACAATCAATTTCGTGGTTTTGATGACACACATAGTTAATGCGTAAGAGATGAATGCTGCTGCTAGTAACTAAATCACACAAATAAAAGTTGTCTATACAAATGTATGCAAAGACAAATAAGCTATATCACACCTGATCCGGGTAACTTTTCTTCACTGGTCAAGAAATTAGCATTTTCTGTCAGTGAAAGTGAAGGATTAAGGCTACTACTATTAGCGTCTAAATTAGTATCATCATTTTTAGTAGCGTCAAGAGTGTTGTTGTTTGCGGGTTGATTTGAAATCAAATCAATTGACTCATCAGAAGTAACCGGTGGTACAGTATCACATATTTTATTACTATCATCATTTCCTTTTATTAATGAATGACTTTTAGATAAGTCTTCTGGATGATGTTGTTCAGATTCATGATCATGCATAGAATCGTTAGTTTGTGATTGTTCTTGTTGGTGTTGTTGTTGTTGTTGTTGTGCAGTATCATGTTTTCTACAAGAATGATTAGCATGCGAAGAATTAAGCGATTTACGGATGAATGGCACACAGAAACAAGGATGAGATGAGACTGTACAGTGAATATACCCAATGAATGATTATTATCATTATCGTCAACATTATCACACACACACACATATATTGATTGAATAAAGTGAGGGGGTTATTGGAAGCAGTTTTTTCCCCAGCGGTTTTGTATTATTGCGAGTGAAACCAATGATGAGGAGGAGGAGGAGGAAGAGGAAATGATGAAAAATAAAGAGAAAACATACACCGTTTGAGCGTTTAGAACAAAGCAAGCAAAAGAAAAATGTATTTTGAAGGAGGAGACGACAAAGACAAAGTATTAGACATCGTACAACACAGTCATAACGCATACAAGTTGGTATAAAATAATAGAATTAACAATAATGATTATTACACACATATATAATGTATATGCATGAACCAAAGCATCCGAAAGAGAACAAATTACAAATGAAGTACACCAAACGTAGAGTGAAAAATATTTTTTTTTTAAATAAAAATAATAATATGCACACATACCATCCCAAATATTCAGTAGGCGATAGAGAAAATTATTTCCCCCAAAACAAGAAAAAAAGGGTTACACGTGAACAACTAGTAAAAATTATCCAATATATAAAACTCGAAAAAAAGCTACAAAACATTAAACTACAATAGATTTGGAGCTGTGACTCATTGGTCTAAGCGCTTGACCTCCAATCCGTGGATCATGGGTTCCAACCCCGTTCCATCTACGGAGATTTGGGGCAGTCAGGTAGTATCACACAAGAGACATGGCTCATCCTCTAATGAATGGGATGGTAAATGATTGAAGTCAATCGGTTGATGATGACTAGCAGTGGAATCCAGGACAACGCGCATTTTGTCATATTTGGGACTCGTCATCTGGACGTACCTGAATCCCTCCTCAGTGAGTGATGGCGTTCCCACCCAGGCTGAAACCCAGTGCCCACAGTTTCAAACGCCGAAGCGTTATCCACTGGACCACTTGGGCCACGAGAATCACCTCCCATCGATTGATTGGACCGAAGTGCTCGGCGTCAGGTTGATATGTCGGAACTGATATGTTGCACAAGAGGTGCCTTTCGTGGCCTAAGGAGCCAACATTGTCAACCTGAGATCGAGCACTTCAGTCCAACCAATTGACGGGAAAATCTAAATCGGATTAAATGGTAAATCGTTGTTGAGTAACATTCCACAGTAGATATGATCAGTCGATATGACACTGATTCCTTATGAAAGAAACGAAGAAGTACTACTTTATTCTACTCTAACAGTTTCTCAACTGATCCCTATCCTATTGCTGTGACATAAATCCCCATTACTGGACAGAGGCCAATCGACCGAAGAAAATATACACCATACTTCCGTCGAACAGTATTAACCAGTGGCAAATAATTCTTTCAAGAGTTAACCGGTATTAAGTTAAAGTCTAATCCTTACACAGAGGTAGTATGCTAGTAGTGAAAACTGCGATTTTTGAATCTGACTGGAAGCTGTTACAGATCTGAGTTGCCAAATAACAGCCATCCATTATTGATTCGTTGACACGCTGATATAAACTATTTTCAAAAGTATTATATTCAACGCAAATATTACTGCGATGACTGGGAGATAGTCACTCCAGGAATTATATATATATATATATATATATATATCAAGATCACTATTGAAAAATATTTGATAAAATCATAGAATAATATACATTCTGTTATCTTATCTATTATTCACACTATGGAATTAATCTAGTATACAAATGAATAAATTATCCTAAGCTACAATAGATGATTGGACAAAAATACTGGATTGTAGTAATGATTATAAATGGGATTTAGATTTATACAAGAAAGTGGGATGTGAGGATGCTACAACACTGATAAATTATATTATTAAATAATGGAAGGATGAACTACTTAAAGTAAATAAAACAGTAGTGCAGAAGAATTCATACAGCCTATTATAGAAATTAACAGAAATTGTTGGATACATGCAAATCGATAAGAGACTATAGATTTGTTAATTATATTCAATATCTACTATTGTTTTTACATCAGTTTTTTAAACCTCTATAAGTGGAAGTGAATGTTAATTAATTGATGCACTTATTGCCTGAATCAGTTGAAACTGAACCCTACAATTAAGAGTTATAAAGAATAACTGTTCTACGAAAGTGCAGTTTGGAAATAAGGACGACCAATTTCAAGAATGATATAAACAGGTGAAAACCTTGAAATAATGTCAACCTAATATTCGTTACACGTATAGCTTAAGTCGATAAAATTCCTAGCATGAACATTTGCACTGTGAACAAATAGTGAACCAAACGTTGCAACTTGATAAGATAAAATTCACTGTTTACGATTAGCATACATGTTGACAGTGTGATTCTAAAAGTATGCTTATGGTTACAGAACAAATCATTTTCCAAGAGTTAGTTTGTACGGATTAGATTTGCTTCAAATCTGACCACAGATTGGCATCGGCTAGAGAACCATTGAATATTGGACGGTTATTTCACCTTATTTTTAGCCTCTTCATCAGTACATACCCATCGGGGTTCAAAGTCAGGACCTCCCGGTTACAAAGCAAACTCGTAGACCATTGGTAGAAGTTGGAATTCATGGACTGGCCATTAAATCTGATCCTAGTGGCTTAATGGTTCATGAGCTTGACTTGTAACCGGAATGTCCTGGGGTTTGAACCCCAGTGCGTGTGTACTAGGACGAAGCGGCTGTCCAGTACTCCACGGTTTTCCAATGGTTCCCTAACTGATATCAATCGCGGTCAAACTTGAAACAAATCATTTTCTTTTCATCTATAAAATCTATTGTTTGATTAGGCTGCCAAATGTTTCCGATAGAGTTACACAATCCACTAACATTTTTAATTTTGAATAAAAATGATGTAAGTGACATCTGCGATGTCAAATTTTAGGTGGGGACAATTCCAGTTTTAAATCTATCCTTAAACTGAATATAATTTAAACAGGGAAATGATATTTACGCTAATGACAATATCGAGCAATTAATAAAAGCAACTAAATCTGGACATTCACATTCTATACTAAATAATCTACACAGATATATGTTTGAATACAAAAGGAAAATAATTTCATGCAAAAACAAGTGAATACTTAAAGCTTCTATTAACTGGGTTTTTTAAAGTAAACTAACCGGAGAGGCTTTGTACACTTGAAGGGTCAGTTCGCCGTTGAACACCCTTATTTAGAGAAGGAAGGCCTTTAGAAGCTGAGGTATCTAGTGGTGCACTCATACTTTGAGGAACATTGGTATTAGGCGTCTGTGTAGTAGTAGTATTATTAGACACTCCAGGTAGACGTCTATTACCAGAATAACCAGTAGAAGAGGAAGACGTTGAAGATGCAGAAGAATGAGATGAGCTAGATGAAGAGGAGTTTACTTTCTGTTGTTGAATTCTTTGATTTGATGTAGCATTCATAGCAGTGACGTGGGTCTGATTAGGGATAACAGGGCGTGTATGGGAAACCATATTCGTGTTGTTTACTTGATACAAAGCGGGGTCCATGCCAATTTGACTGAAAATAGTAGACGAAACAGAACTACAGAGGATGCTTATAACTGAACAGTTATCAAGAGCAATTAATGAATACATTTCGGCAATCATAGAAGAAAATCAATCATCCCTCAAGTAAAGGATTAAAAATACATTATACAAAACATTTTATCATGATCATATAGGAAATAACAGATTATGAGGCTAATCAATGGCTTAAAGACTTAAATCATCTAAGCAAGATGACGAATAATATAGAGTATATAATGATAGATAAATATCTTATATTTAATACATTTCACACCGTAGGTAAACATGAATAAAACACCCACTTTCGCCTACAGAACTCTCGATGTACAGCACTGATAAAACTCAAAAGCACCGGGCAAAACGCAGCAATAAGTATAGAAATGAAAAATAAGTCCACATTTTCACTCAATACAAATATAACTGACAATTAAACCATAAAAGCTAGTGAAATTTGAGCATTATCAAGTGAACAGGACGAAAACTCTAAAAAATGTAACGTAGTTTTAACTTAGGAGAGATTTGTTCAAGGAATCAACGCGAAACAGAATTTATTCAACAGAGGTATTTTAAAAATTATGTTACTAATAAAAATGAAAGTGATATAGTATAGGACTATTAAGAATGGATTTTAAAAGTTGTGCAATTTGCTCTGATATGAATATGGGCAATAAATTCTACTGGAAACGCCATTTGTTAAACAATATTGTTTTCCTACATGCTACTTCAAATAGAAAAAAACTGGTACGGAACCAATAGTAACATTAAACTTACGGGTTATTGGAAACTCTATTCCTAAGACCAGGAGGAGCAGATGAATTTGGATTAACAAAATTACAAGGATTTCCATTCGCATCAATACTACAGGGACCAGTTGATGATGCAGGTACTGTAGATGCAACAGGATACAGTACAGGTGGATACGGATAATGAGGACCAGCTTGAGCAAGAGAATTACCTTCACCGGGTATAGGAGATGACATCATTCCTACATTCGGATTCGTTGAAACATTTTGGTTTTGCATCGAAGATAGGCCAGAAGCTGAGCCTACTGTATCAGGAACAACATGATGAAGATGCGGATACATCTGTGGCATCATGGGATGAGTTCCGGTATGCGGTGCAGTCGAATTAGCTCCAATTTCGGAAACGGAATCTACTTCATCTAGATTGAGATGAGATAAAGCTGAAAAAGAACGAAAAGGAATATATGCAGAGCCCAGTCTTTTCAATACATGCACAGGAGGGAAAAAAAGTTATCAATTAGAAGGGACTTACTTGTAGCTATGTCTCCGAAAGTGTAGTAACACTGCTCAGAAAATGTACTTTTGTTAACAGTATGACGAATATAGCCATAATGCAATAGATTAGAGGCATACCTTCGGGCATCTCGTCTGTCTGCAAAACCATCTACATGAGTAAACAGCCAGTCGACGAGTTCGGAACCTGCAATATGACCAAAATGTGATTTAGATGCATTATTGAATTAAATAGTGCATTACAAAATAAGAAATCTTTGAAAACGACTTTAAAAAATAAACTACAACAAACTCCTGTTCTTCATAATGAACTTGTAATTAACCATATAGGAATTTCAAATCAGATTAGTGGACAATAATAGCAAACTGATTTTCCTATTTTTTATCATCGAGAAGTGGAAAAATATAAAGATAAATAGATGTAAGCAGTCATTAGACAAGTTTATAGACATTAAGACAACTACAGCTACTTTGATATATAGATCATAAGAAAACAAAAATAAAAAGGAAGCTAAAATTACTCCTATCAAAGATAACAACAGTTATGAAGACAATTTATGAAAATTCATGATAAAGGTAACTGAAATTGAAACTCTGGTACAGCTTTAAATCCAACTGAAAAGTAAGATTTTGATTTGTTTTAGTTAAAGTGCTCGATTTTATATGAGTATTGGATTGATCAGATGGCCGGAAACAATCACCAACAAGAAACTATTGGAAGGAACAAACAAAACAAGAACCAATCGCCAACGAACAAATATGCAGGAGAAAGTGGAGATGGATTGGACACTCGCTGAGGAGGCCGCTGGGTGACATCGCGCACGCGTTAGGCCGTTGCTCGAGTGGAACCAGGCCGAAAGGAAAGCGGCGATTGGGACGCCAGTGCAAGGGTGACATGGAGGAGACCGTGTGAAGAGGAGTTGAAAGAGTATGGACTAACATGAATGCAGATGAAAAGTACAGCAGAAGGAAGACAGAAGCAAGTGGATAGGTGCAGTTGAAGCCCTATGTTCCACTAGGAACCCAAGGGAACAATAATAATAATTGGATTGATAAATATTTCACTTATTTAAGCCTATGCACTCGAGTAGTAATGTGAGGTTAACTACATCAAGTCAATGGAAAAATGATTCACTGGAATAAAAACACTTGGGTTCTCGTTGAAAAACCCCAGGGTTCGAGTCTTGCTCCACCCATTATTCCAGCCTGAACAATTAGATGGTGTTATTAACTCCCTCACACATACAATAAGTGTGGCTTATGTCATATAATGCATGAAAGATCTCGTATACTTAGATAAAGTCAGTGTTGATAACCATTAGATGTCTAGTTAGGAATACTGATCAGAATTTATCGACCATAGGTGTAATGTAGTTCAGTTGTACTATCGACAAGGAACTTTACGTTTTGACTTACAGTTTACTAGTTTATATAACACCTAATCTCGGGATAAAAATGGCTGATTAACAACCCCACCCCACTCCCTAACACCATAATACAAAATACGTTATTCCACTTCATCTTCCCTCAGTGATAAAATATAGATAAGAAATTCATGTAAAAAAATGGAGAAGAAAATAATAATTCAGTACCACACTGGATAATGAATAATATAAATCAATCAGTGACATATATGCAAGTAATAATTCAGTATATATGTATAGTATGCTATGTATGCACTGATAAAATGAATGCCATTTATAGTTAAGCGAATATCTACTGTCGATTTTCTCACAATAATACCAGCGAACACACAAGAGCAGAGACAGAGTGAGAGAGAGAAAACAGCAGGTAATCGCCTACATTACTTGAAAAAAGAGGAACATATGTGACTACTATACATACAAACTAATATGAAAAATAAAAATAGGCCTAAAGAGAAAAACAGTTCACTACTCCTGCTACTAGGGTAGTAACAACAGTGGTTACAACATATGCTTTATTTACTCCCTCCTTATTCACCAAAGTCAATCATCATATGTACAATACTTCTACTACTACTTTTATTATTATTATTATTATTATCTATAATCTTAGTGATAGTAATTTTTCTTCTAAAAATCAACGTTTGCTGGTATGTACAACCTCCTAAATAAACAAGAAGGCTGGGATCAGTAAATAATAATAATGATATACACAATATTATTCCCAACTAATCTTCACATGTAAATAATAATAGAATCACTAGATGATTAAAACCGCATACGAAACGAATTAGCCTGTCTAGCATGATTTTTTCCAAACATTCCTCCATATTATTATTATTATTTTTTACTTCTACAAAACAACTACTACTGAGTTGTGGAATAACAAAACAGCTGATGCTTGAGAAAATAAAATTTTCTCTATTCTTGTTTTCTTTTTTATTAATACTATATATATACAGCTTGAATTTTGTGGTGACACTAATCAAGGTACGATACGTGTCTATGAACATCTATAATGGCATTACAAACACTGTTGAAAGCACACACACACATACACATATTCGTTTTTTTTGTTTTCACTATACTTGATAACAACAACCACAGCAACAAAATACGACGCAACAGAGAGAGAGAAAGAAACAACAGAAAACTTGATTGTTAAATAATTAGGTAAAAAATAGAGTTATTAATGGGCATTATAAACAAAATAGGATTTTGGCGTGACAAAATGCAACAGTATTTTCTTCAAGAGAGAGAGAGACAGTGAGAGAGAAGTGCATAGACTCAGTTCATCATAGTGATGAAGATGACGACAGTCAACACATATAATATTAATTATTGAAAAGATCATCGAGAAATCAACAAAAACAATATGATAAATTATCACATAAAAATATATGGAAGGTTTTAAAGAGCTAAAGAAAGAAAGAACGAACGACACATAACCACAACTATATGCAAAGAAAATGGGTATATGATGCAAATATATAACAACAGTTTAATTCTTCTAAGATGAAATTTTAAAAAAACAACATGAAAAGTGTAATTGTGACTACTTTTAAATATTTCGTGTCGAATGTATATTCACCATTAGGAGATTATTGTAAAACTGATGTCTAGAGCTGATAAACATCACAGTGATACCTAGAGTATCTTTCCAAATGGAGAATTCGAATAAACCAATCAAATGATTTCCAAGCACATTAAATATATACATATATATTACAAAATCTAATGTGGAATGATTTTCTCTAAACCGTGTGGCACGCATATCGCAGATATCCTGTGAAATTGCGTTGTCAACATATTTAGAGCTAAAAAGTAAACGAAGGTATGTAGAAGCAATTGGATAATTTGTCTGTTCGTGCATACAAACACGTTGAAGGCAACAAAGGTTAGATAATGTATTAATAGATTACGCCTATTCTAGTCAACATTATATCTATTTGTATGGATTTATCTAACCTGAAGACCGTTGATTTACAGCTTATAGTAAATAATCGTGTTAATGCACACTTCGTCACTTCTTTCCATTCCTCTGCGTTCCAAGCGTAATACAGAGCTTCAAGCTTTTAAAAGTTTCATAAGTTGTGGTGCTGTTTTTACGGGGACGAAGTTGCTGGTATTACACCCAACCCTTCCTCTTATCCCGGCTTACTACCAGCTAATAAACCATACGAGTTTTAGGAGAGAATCAGCCGGGAGTTAAACCCTGACCATGTGTATAGTTGATGAGGATTCTGCCACTGAACTACTGATGCAATCTATCATTCAATTTAATTTAAACTTCACTGCACTACAGTATCATATTTTTACATCTATATACCGGCTGCTTTTATCTCCACAAATGTTATTAAAATAAAGGAATGTCTAAGGAGTAAAACGACTCAAAACAAGTATTAATTAGTAACAAAGGCAACAGAGGTAATATAAACGACATAAGTTGTGACATAACACCTACATACTATTTCGATTTAATAAATTCAACATCAACAAGAGGAAAGATAACATAATATTCGCAAATCAACACATTTTAAACTGAAATGTTATAAGAATAAATGAATATGCACCAATCATAAGAAGACATCAAGCTTAGTTGATTAGTTTTATACCCTACTAAATTTATATAAATTAGCAGTGGGAAGCGAAGAGTGGATTGTCGGTGCGAGTGTGACATGGAGGAGATCGTGAGAGGAGGAGATGAGAAATTATGGTCAATCGTGGACCCAGATGAAGAGGACAGCAGAAAATAGAACAAAGTGGAGATATATTGTTGAAGCCGTATGTTTTACTCGGAACCCAAGGGAATAATAATATTTCAATAATAGTTGAAAATCACACCACTAATGAAAGTAGGCGATGTTAAAACAAAACTAGTAATAATTCAAACTGACGACAGAGATTCTACCTACTTATTATGTTAAAAAAAAGTAGAACATATGGTCTGAAATTTACTTGATTGTAGAGTCGTTTGATAAAATAAAGTTTAAGCTAAGAAAGAGGTTAATTTGCAGCTATTAAATTTGGAAAAAAATAGTTCAAAATGAATATGTGTAGCATCAATGATGGTGATGAATAGAGTTGGTGAGAAAAAAAAGAAAAAAATAATAATTGAATATTAGGTGAAATAATAGAATGATGGTAAATGACAGTCAAACAAAAGTGATATTATGATACTTCAAATATAAGTGATAATTGCACAGATCAGTGTATATAATAGACAGGTTCTTGTTATTCAAGTGCACTTATTTGATTGACAATATTTAATATTCAATGGAGAGAAGAGACAAGCACGCAAGAAAAAAACACAAAATTTTTCTATATTTAGCTGCTTTTTGAATCACAATATAGTATATACATAAAGTTGACTAGGGATGTATCACTGATAGTGGGTCAAACAGAAACGATTTAATAAAGCATTAATTCTGATTGTTTCATATCAACAGGGGATCAAAAAATCTAACAAATTGGGTTATTCATACATTTAGATGCGATATATACTTAAAGAGAATCTACAAATTATCACCTAAAAATGTTCAGAATAGTCCCGCATTTTTTTACTGAAAACTGAGATAATCACTTACTGACACAAGAAAGTGAATGATTAACTACACCCCAAGGAATAGCATAACCGACTAAATCAATAACTGTGGGAGATTGGTGTTAGTTTATCCAAATTTGAAAGTTTCCATTTCGAATTACTTAGCAAAAAATAAACGGTAGCTAAAGGTCATTTGAACTGTCTCTTCTTACTTTTACACTACTGATAATTCTAACAAACTAATTTCGTCGATAAATCTTAATAAAAACATTTAATTACACTTATGGTTTTCTTTGTCTATTAGGCTGTTACACCTACTTATCAACGTGCTCGGATCCATCAAAAAGTATTCATTAATTTGACTGTAGATACTGAGATGAATAATACACCTGTAATCATACGCAACTTCGGAGTACCACTAGGTATACAGCTACTTTCTGATTGATTTTGCTTATAGAACTATCATTTTCGAGTTGGACTTGGAACTGTTTTCTAGGTGTGTTGATCTTGCGCCGGGTGACTTTGGTTATCTACCTGTCGGCAGTAACAATACTATTCAGCCTGTATCAAATGAATATGAATATTAGACGAGTATAGAGATAACTAGTAGACTCACCAATAAAAGCATTTGGAATTGTTATTTTCAACCATGTCCGATCATGTATTTCTAATCCAGAATCAGACATTAACATATCATGAACTACAGAAGCCATGTCTGAAGCCACGGTTAAAGAAGTGGATGATTTTCCATTTGCACCAGATAAAAGTGATTGTGTGCCTTTCGCGTCAACAGTCGTTTCACCTCCTGACCGAGAACCATTAGTTTTAGCACTTCCTGGTCCACCAGCAACTCCACTGCTTGCAGGACCTCTGCTGCGATATCCACCAGCTAGAACATCTCCACCATCAGGAACATCTGGCAGTGATTTAGTAGTCATATTAGAAGAAGGCATTGCATTCATCCCAGGTAGTGAAGGTAAGAGAAGCTGCGGCATGCCAGGCATTGAAGGTACAGATAATCCGGAAGATGGACCCATGCCCATGAAATGTCCTAGTACGTTAAAAAAAAGGAATGAAATGAGAAAAAATAGTACACAGATTACATTGTAAAAATCGAATCATTAACAAACTTTCCAAGCGCAAAAGGTTGAGAACAACTTTTCAGATGAAGAAAGCCATGGAAGGATCATACCTCAGTAAACCAAATGAATAACACTCACGCTACCGAAGAAAACAAATCTGAAAGTAATGACAACGTAAAGTAACCATTTACGTGCAAAGTTAAAGAATAATTCTAACTTCTACAATGCTATTGCTCACGTCACACTAGGAAAAATATCGAATAAATCGAAAACAATACTCACCAGGAATCATTGGCATTCCAGTTGCAGGTGATCCAGAACCAGCGAAAGGTGTATTTCCCTCAAGACCTGGCGTTCCTAGTGCTCCCGTCATTGCATTCGTATGCAAGACCCAAGCACGAGGATCAATTGGACGAACTGGTTCCTGACGAGGGATTGTGAAATAGTTTTTGGGACTAGGATCCCAACATTTCGCAACCACTAATGTAATGGGGCTGTTGAGTTATAACAGTGATAAAAAGTAAAAGTGTATTTGTTAGGGAAGAAATAAATTCAACTAGAATGTAATTATATACCTCCAACATTTTTAATCTGAAGGGTTAATAAACTCTTGAAAATATTATGTTTAGAAATAGAGCAGGCAGAGATATTGTAATCAGTGGAAATATACAAGTGCATTAAATATGTTTGGTGATTTTAGAAATATCCTTGAGTATAATGTACAGTCTGGAGGATGGAGGAAGTGAACCTTAGTAACTGTGCACATATTCATGAACTTCATAACAATGGCGCCTGTTGTATATGTACTGATAATACTGACCAACTGTTTTGAACTTAGGTGGAACCAGGTGCAAGCCCGTATCCCTTCGGCTAAAGTCAATGAGGTAACAATTATTATTATTATTATTATTATTATATCCTTTAATTCCTAGAGGAACACAGGGCTTCAGCTGAGCGTCTCCATTGCGTTCGCTCTTCTGCCAACTTTTTCACCCCGCTCCAAGTCTCCCCACATGCTTTCATCTCCTCTTCACATGACCTCCTCCAAGTCACCCTTGCACTGACGACCGACTCGCCGCTTCCCTTTCGGGTTCCACTAGAGAGATTGTCTAGTGATGTCACTTGATGGGTTCCTCAAAGTATGTCCAGTTCACCTCCATTTCTTCCTGCTCATTCGTTTCACAATCGGTTCCTGGTTGGTTCGCTCCCAGAGATCTCTGTAGTTGATCTTTTCTGACCGGCCATCTGATCTTGAGTATTGAGCGAAGACAACTGTCAATGAAGTTCTGGAGTTTGTTTGAGATGCTCTTTATGACCCGCTGGTCAAGTCTCTGATCCGTACAGTAGCAGTGACTTCACATTCGAGTTGAAAAACCGGATCTTATTTTGATGCTGAGTGCTGTTGACCTCCACACAGACCTAAGAATAATGAAAGCTTGTCTTGCTTTTCCGATTCTGGATGAGGTAGCCTGAGGTCATATGAGGTAACAACTGTAACGCAAAATTTGAACGAGTGCTTACACAAAATTGGTTTACAAGTAAGAAGTAGAGAAACAGTAAATCTCTTTCTCCGTTTGCGAGTAGCACACAATCAAATTAAAAACTAATATGAATAACGTGCACTTCAAAAACAGTGCATACTGCGCTTTTATTGAAACAAACTGGAGGCATAATGAAGATCGCTACACACGCACAAGATTATGGCAAATTAATACACAAACCATGTAGCTTATTATATCAGATCACTAGATTAATTCTATACACCTTATTTACACAACACGTATCAGGTATTCTAACAATGCTGTTGCTAAAAAGTAACTCCCTTTCAAGTAGACTTTCATAAGGAAAACTCTGAAAAGATGGTGGAAGAGTTTGCATTCCTAAAGAAATAATATGATGACAATGGCTGAGTATATAATATATAAATTCCTCTGAAGAAAATGGCGACATGAATATACCTTGTTAAAGTGCATAAAAATGTAAACCACTAATTTTTTTTATCCTTATATTGCAAGTATCATTACCATGGTGATACTTCTTACTGATTTAGTGTTATACACAATACTAGTATTGTAGCTAATTCCATTTGAATTCACGGAAAGTGGTACAAGATTAATTTCGATTCAAGTATAACCAAACGAAATTCCACTGATATCAAGAGTGATGAAAATCCTTCATAGAATTATCAGGTGTAAAAAAAAGGAAAAGGAATGTAAGACTTGTTTCCATTCCTTTGTTAGTGACTTGCAAGTAACCTATTTCACTTGATTGTTAGTCATTTTTAACCTCATTTACTAACCAATGATGGGAATTATACTAAAAGAAGAAATAGAAGAGAAAGGATACGAAACCTTGATAACCATATATTTATTAAGAAATGCTATTGCATGACCTAAAAGATATAAAAATACAGTGTTATTTCCTAAATAACATGCTATATGATAGTGACGTATCGTTTATACACACTCATTTATCTTTAGTTTATTATTGTCTTACGTTTTACACTTCATCAGAAGGAAAAGCTGCTCAACTGTGTATGTGTTCCATAATTACCTTACATAGATCACTTGTCTGATGACTATCTGTACATTATTGCAAAAGTTTAAATGTTTCAAGTCCGAGTTGTTAATTACTGAACTTGATAAATTAACATAGGAATCCAGTCATATGGATATTGGTTGGAGGATTTCATCATGAGGTGACACCAGTTAGAGAGCCATTGGAGAACCTAGGAGTACTGGACAGCTGTTTCGTCCTAGTTTCGGACTCTTCACCAGCCAAACTTCAGAATTCATAGAGATATCCTTATTACTGAGGAATATATCGAATATTTATTATTTACACTGCAGCAGAAGTTAACTTTTTAACGTACAAGGATGATGGAATTGTGCTCCAAACGCTAAAGTTCGGTATCACAAAATCAGCAGTTGACTTCTTAAAAGTTTAACCTGCCACTCATGGGGCAAAAATAAAGTAAAATTGCTGTTTATTTCGTGCTTTGGATTATACCAGATATAACAAAATTAGATAATACTTGGATGTCATTTTTTAAAGTAAAAACTGGACTGGGGAAACAGATTGGGACTAGAAACATGATAACAGCAACATAATATTCACCAAGATTCGTTAAGCTGGAACCAACAAAAAAAACACGTTCACGAACTCAAAACTATATACACGATAAATACGTCGATAATTACCCAGGTTTTTGAACTTCTTCACGCAGGACTCTTACAGCCTCATCATTACTCATATCTTCAAAACTGATTCTATTCACCTCCAATATCATATCACCTGGTTCAATTCGACCATCTTGTGCAACAGCTCCACCTCTCATTATAGATCCCACGTAAATACCACCATCTCCTGCTTTGTTTGATTGACCTACGATACTAATTCCCAGAAAATTCACTGAGTCCATATTCAGTGTGACAGTGATTATATTGAGAGACATTGTAGAATCAGTAACACTGCTGAAAGAAGTAGCCTAAATAAAGAAGTAAGAGAATAAAACTCTGATATACAAAAGAAGTTATAAAGCATAACTTATAGTAAACAGAGAATTAAGATGAAAGAGGAATGAGGACGGATGAAATACAGTTAAGTAGTAGGCTAATGAAATTAATAGGAAAAACCAGATCTTATTTGTATATAGGACAGATTCAAGTGGTAAAACATTGAACCTTGTTGAGTTACTGTTATGAAGTATTATAATGTTTAATCCCACATTCAATATTTCGTCTTTCACTATTGTACACAAGAAAATCATAATAATAGTAATAGATCTATCCTGTAAAAATGTTTATGCAGTGTAAAGAATTGTCAGTGGAGTTTATTGTATGATATTTTCTCTTCGTCCAGGATCTTCAAATAAAAGATTAATTGACAGTAGGTCGTGTGATGAATTTCTATCTAACCGAAAGTGCCAACCAATCCACTATTATGATATCTCATTTTAGTCTCCTTCGAGAAATACACGACATTTGGTTGAATACCAATTATAATACGTTCAGGAGTACATTTTACGAGCCAGGGACACAACTCAGGAACGGTTATCTCATGTATTGGGATAAGCTGTCATCGACAATTTTTTTTTAAATTTAGTAGAAACTTGCGAATCAGCAGGTTTTAAATATCTTAAATACTCGCCAGAGCGAACAAAGCTATTAGAGGTCATATTCTACTAGAATAAGGGAAACTATATGCAATATATTGATGGAGGTTTTTCGGTAGCCCAGGTTTTAAGCAGGCCTCCAGAATACGTTAAGTTTTAAGTGAGCTTAATAACAAAATTATGCTCATTGAGAAATATGAAGAAGTGCTATCAATTTGAAGTCACATAGTAAAAGTATGACTGCTTTGAAATGGTATTTGAAATAATGGAGATAAGATTCTTGGACCACTGAGCGGCAGGTGAGTACTCTGAAAGTAGTGTTTATCCGAGATTAAAGAGATTTCATGCAAGGGAGAGTTGCATACAACCTTCATTTGATAGTGGTAAAAAAACCAAGGCAAATACACGTATGGTTATGTTACAGTTATTCAACCACTTGAAGCTATTCTAAAAGGAAAAGTCGTTAGAATGAATGAAGCAAATACGGAAGGTCGGGTGTGAGGACAAATACCCACCGATAACATTGGCTAGTGGTCGTGCTATAATGTGAACTGGTAGAAGTCGGAATTCATGGGCTGGCCATTGGACCGGGTCCCAGTGGCTTAAGGGTCTACGGGCTCACCTTGTAACAAGAAAGTGCTGGGTCCGAATCCCGGTAAGTACGCACTGATGAGTCCCAAACTATTGTGAAACAGCTGTTCAGTACTCCCTACAGGTTTTCCAATAGTTCTCTCGAACAGATGTCAGCTCATGATGAAATCCCGTAACAAATGACTTCAATACTGTTATACACAAAGGCAGAATTTTTGATGCAGCAAGTACATCGTCAATAACTTCTGTCGCCTAATACCTGTTTAACTGAGCTTCAAGATAGAACTTTGCAGAGAAGTGCGGTAGTTTAAAAAGCCACACTTCATTTAGCAAACAGAGATAGAGAAGAGAAATTTAGGAGAGCTGTAATGGGTAGAAATATACGCGGAGAAGGATGGTAACCAATTAACTTTGAAGTGAAAAGTGCAGAACACCGAACAGATAACTCAACAGTTGTTTATCATAAAATCAAGAATACAACTGAAAAGAAAGATATTTTTAAGATTATAATTCATATGTAGTCGTATTACAAACCACATAAGGCCGTGTACAGGATGTTAGCAACTTATTATCACTGCTTGCTAAGGAACGGAGTTTCCTAGAGTTCTAGTGAGAAGTCATGACCGGTGAGGTTCAACCAGTCGATTGTGAGGATGGATTTCCCACTGATAACATTGGTTGGTGGTCGCGCCAAATCACGAATTGGTAGAAGTTAGAATTCATGCACTGGCCATTGAATCGCGCCCCATTGACTGAATGGTATACGAGCTTGACTTGTAACCCAAAGGTCCTGGGTTCGAACCCCGGCGATAGGTGCGTACTCCCGATGATTTCCAAACTAGGATGAAACAGCTGTTCAGTACTCCTTGGTTTTTAATGGCCGTCTAACTGAAATCAATCCGTGGTCGGAGATTTTGTATCCTAGGTTTATACAAAAAGCCTCGCTTTATTCAACTTTTTATAACTTATTATAGTCTACCACAGCGCAAAAGTTCTATTTTTGACCACAAGCCAATTCATCAAAAATGTGAATTGTACACATCTCAGCATCTTATCCATCACAATTCCATGAAGTATATGGTATGACCTAGGGTTCAATTTTTCTGAATTGTGTTTATTTTTGTATATACTTTTATAATGCCTATGCTTATCATTATTTTCATTTAATTATGAGTCAGACAGACATGCCCTTCACATTAGTATAAGTAGCAGTAATATGCTGTAAAATAAGCACACATAATTCATTTTTCACGTGGCGCCTATTATTTCAACGGTTAAAGGAAAGGCGATGGGTGTTTGTATGAGAAAGAAGTCAATGTGAATCACTAGTATATATATATATATATATATGAAATAGTCAATATTTCTAACTAATCAGTATGCACCTGAAACAACCAACATATTAAGAAAAAAATTCTAATATCCAATTTTACACTAAGTTATTATTATTATCCCTTTTTCAATAAAAAGCAGTGTTCAGAAGTTATGGTGTGATGGTACTATTCTGTCTATACACATCAACGTGAGAGCAAAACACTGAGGCATACATATATCTATGCACAGTTTTTGCCTAGGAAGAAAGGTAGGGAAAATAAATCATATAAAATCTGGTAAGATGAATCATCATAAATTACTGGACATAGATTGTTAAGAGACAGTCGTAAACATGAGAATGGAGAAAAAATATGTATATATTTTTTCCCTACGTCACTTCTAGAGACGTACACTTTGCAAGTGTTAGTTATACCATCATCATCATCATAGAATGTAATACACAAAATAAACTATCTGTTGATAGAAGAATAAGCAATTCTCAAGATTCCATCCATCAGTCAACTATTCAACAACAAAAATGAGCAATAGTGGAGAACACTATTCAGGGTGAGGATAAAAGCTCTTATGAGGTGATTTCGTAAATAATGTAGTAGCAAACGTCGCAACAGATATACTAGCTGAGTAAAAAGGTTGATAAAACAACCAAACATAATATTTTATCTGATTACAACATTGCTCTAAACACTTATATACAAACTCAACTACTTGAGGAATTTCAAATCGTAATCGACCACTTCCACTCTGCACACACAAGTATATTGAGAAAAAGAGTGCAGCAAGTTCGTTTTGTAATAAAAGTTATATCCTCACTCCATTTTTAAACTATATGAATATTGAACGTAGCAGCTTCACAGGCTTTATTGGACGAGCGATTATAGTGAAACGAAACTTGCCGCACTCCCGTTTCAATATACTTGAATAGGTAGAACAAAGACAGTCAATTACCATTTGAATTTCTTCTCACAACTGGGTCTTACGTGATTTTGTTTAACATGCTAAGAGGAATACTGTAATCAGATTGGAAGTTAAAGCTTGATTGTTTTAAAGGTGTTTTTTTCAACGTTTTTACGCAGTTGAAATATCTATTATGACGTTCGCTATACTATCTCACAATGGGTCTTATCCTCATCCCTTTAATATTACTTTTCAAACATCCATGGATAAATCTTACACAAGGCTGTACATACAATATAAACCTATTCCAGTTTGATCACGGATTGATGTCGATTCGAGAACCATTGTGAACCTGAGAGTACTACTGGATAGTTGTTTCACCCCAGCTTAGGACACTTCACAATAGTCACCTATCGGGTTTTGAACCCAGGGCATTCCGGCTACAAGGCAAGCTCGTATATCATTGAGCTCACTAGTGAATGGCTACAGGAAAAAATTGCCTGGAGTTCTAGGGACCAGCGGGCTTCATCGGGTCGGGCGTGGGGACAAATACTCACTGATGACACTGCCCGGTGGTCTCGCTTTAATCATGACTCGATAGAAGCTGGAATTTATGAGCCATTGGATCGGATCCCAGTGCCTGGTCAGTCTACAAGCTTGCCTTGTAACCGGAAGGTCCAAAGATTAGAACCCCAGTGGGTACGTATTTCGGAAGAGTCCTTAACTAAGACAAAACAGCTGCCCAGAAGTACTCCTAGATTTTCAACGGTTCTCGAATTGGCATCAATCTATGATCAAACTTGAAAAAAATCAACTCTCTACATACTAACTCTTGAAAATAAATCTAATCAAGGTATCCTTTATTGAACAGTAATTAGCATTAGCAAGCAGAGTAGTAAACCTTTTTTTTTGAAGATATTAGGTCTTTTATTTCGATCGATAGAGATTTACAAAAATAACAGGCTTGTGCGTTTTTTACCTATTTAAATTTCATGTTTGTCATGAGAATGCAGAAACCACATTCTCATATACATCTTTAATCACATTTGATAAATTCAAAAAGTCAACCTATTACGTTTTTCAATGGTTTTGCGTCAGCAATAAACTGAACAAAGCTATCATCGCGCTTCATCTTAGAAAGGGAGAAAGAGAAGAAGAAATAACTGTAAACTATGCTAACACACAAAGTTAGGGATGATGATAACCTGGGAATGTAAAACCCTTTGAAAGAGTATTTATCCAAAATATTTTCATAACTATCAGGGATAACCATTCGGTTGCAACTGACGTGAACCGAACAGCTCTGGTGCTTTATCAAGCAATTCACACTGCCAATCACTTCCCTAAAAATCATAAAAGTATCAAGTTTAAGTGTCATGTGAATAGGACATGGATCTGTTTGTGTAGTACCACAGTAGACCTACGTTTTAATGTCAAAATATTCAAATCTGATTTGAATTTAATCTCTGCAAATACCGTATTCCTATGGTTATTCCAATATAAATTTATCTGTCATACTTTGTAATCCATAGACTATTTGATACGGCTGAGCATGGGTAGACTTCAATATTCCCCATGAGACACTATCATATGGCCATGTTTTTATGGTCTCTGTCAGGTAATTCTTATTCACTGACTTCTTGCAGCAGGAGTATTCTCCGCAAAAGTGAAAGGGCGAATGCGAACGTCGGGTACTCACAACCGAGCTGATGGACATGCAGGTCTACCACCTAGAGGAGCTGGAAAACCCTAATTCCGAAACTACGGTGCAAATAAGCTCCAAAATTTCAAAGGATCGGATGGGGCTTGAATCTATCTTCGTCATCGGTAACTGTAGGAATGCAGCTCCTGATACTGCTTCACTACCTTGTGGATCAGACTTCAGTTCAAAGGCTCGGGAGGTAACCTCTTAAGAGAACCACCTGCCTGCATCAGTCTAGGCGTTTGGGCTCGCATGAAATTTTGTGTGGCTCGACTCTCGGTGCCCACAATCTACTAAGATTGTTCTCAATAATAGTAATAATAAACTTTGTAATCCCTAATGTGAATTAATGCATCAAAAAATGAAGATACTAGAAAACACTTAAATGTCTTTAAGATAGGTTTTGTTGTCAATCATTTTATTATAATCAGTCTTTTTTAGATTATTCATATTGTTTATGGAATATTTGCAGTCACCTAGAGAATGTCAAATTAATCGATGAGAAAATTCTAGCCAATATCTATCTAGCAGTGAACAGATAATAATGGCTTTGAACAAATAATATATAGGTGATGAGAATACGACATTTTTTCCTCTTAGTTAGCAGAAATACTCTGAATTACTTCGAAAACAAGCAGATTGTGTATTGAATGACAATTGACACTCACTTATTTCGCATACATTTATGACTTATAATTGGCAAAATATTTAGTCTATGACAGTAGATTAGTTTTCTACTTGCAAGTATATTTGGTTAATTTCTTTTTTTTAACTGACGCAGAGTTAGTTGATCGGTAAACGGAAAAGTGTTATGAATTTAGATAAGCATTGCTCTAGACAACTTGAAGAAAATAATACATTTGTATTATGACTTTTCAGTGCTTATTTGTTGTGTTTCACCGAGAATATCTCGATAACTTTAAAACGCTTGAAGGGTTTTCTTTCCAAATTCTCACTACCTACCTGTGTCGTGCAGACAATATAATCAGTGAACAATTAAACTTTCTGCACACAATGTCGCTGTGTCCAATTTTAACTGCTGTAATTTGAAACTATTAATTAGGTAGTTGGGATCCGATTATCACTTGCAGCAGTGTGAGGAATGACCAGACTAATGGTCAAGTTTCACGCAAAGGAGAAAGAGATCAATAAACCGTAAGTGTAATTTGGGTGAACTGACATTATGAAGTAATATACTACATATGCATTACATACGACTAATGCGTAACGACAAGACTGGGATTGATTTAAGATTATCAGGAAGCCATTGACTGCCAATATCATCCTTGTCGGTTGTTTCATCACAATACAGCAGGGTATTTAAATAGATAAATATCCGTCAGATGAACTTACACAGTAAAGTATTCAAAGAGAGTTTTAAAGATGCTATTAATGTTCACTAGACCATTGTTAAACATGGTTTCTGTATTCCTAAGTTAATCCTTCGGTCAATTTTTGGTTCTTATGACGCTGAAAATGATAGTAATCCAATCATTGCGTGTAAATGTGTAAATCTCAATGAAAAAACAACAAAAAGTGCACTGAATAACATTCATTAGGACATAAGACATAAGATTATAAAACCTACATCTTCACTGGTACGTCTTATCGGCAATATCCGTCGATGTCTTCGTTGCCGTCTATGTCTACCGTATTTGGCAGAGGACATAGTTGTACCTGTGGCAGTTGAGAATCTGAAAAGATTTTTTAACAAAAAAGAAATTTTTATTCATTTAAAAGCGAGTTAACAGAATCAGCATACGTGCATTGTTAATAGCTGGAAAAAGTTGAATTTATTATCCGAGGTTTAAATTGAAGATTTTCACTAGTCTAGGAATTCTTAGTATCTAACGATAGATGCTTCATATATTGACATGTAAGAAAAGACAAATTGATGTAGGAAGCTTTGATATGAATCTTAACATCACCTTTACTTAGTTTGACATAACTCCTTTTTGATGAATGTCAATGTTGAAATGAATACTAGGGTAAATCACTCTATCGAGTTATTTTTCCGTAAAGATAGCAGGATATTCACAATATTCACGTGCCTAGGATTGGTGTGACATGATAGAGGACCTTAAAAAGATTACATCATTATACAATAAACCTTTGCTTTATAAGCTATTGACTTAAGTTACAGGGATAACTGTGGACCAATTAACAAGAGTTCTGAAGACTCAATTGAAAAGTTTCAGTGATGCATTTAAATTCAGTGACTAGCATATTCATTCTATTATTTTCAATTTTTATTTATCGTTTTGTTTTGCACTACTGTAATATCCGGCCTTACATCCTTAATATGCTTGTTATGCAGTTGGATTCAAAACCAATTAGTTATAGTTTATATCTCATAGTTTTAAGGTGGAATTTGTCCACTAACTGTAAAAAATTTTTAATCTTGAACAAAGCGAAAAAGCACATAGAGCAGGACAAAACCGATCACTCATTTTGGATAAATGGTATTTGGGTTGATAGTTTATTCGTTCCTGAACTTTGCAAAAAGGGTACAAGAAGCAGTCCAACTACTAAAGCTGGCCTACTACTACTAAAGAATTGAGCGCGGAAATATATATATCTTACACAACATTTAACCAACCAAGTAGAGATATCTTAGTTAACAATAATAAGTCAGTATCAACATGTCAAGGGGATGATAACTAACGAAGAAAATCAATACACACAGTTTAAGGGTAGAAATGGTTACAACAAATGGATTGCATAGTGCATAATCATAGAAAAATGTAGAGTAATTAAGGAATAAGTTTCTAAGTTGATTACGTAACAGATTATTCAAGCAAAATAAAACGATTCGGACACTGATGACTTGTAATTAAAGATGAAGTAGTCAGAAAGATAATAAAATAATTTGGACAATTATAATTTTAAGGGTTCAGGAGCGAAGTAGTCTGGTTTATATATTCATTTAACGATGGCCAAAATAAGGAAAGTGGCTGTACAAATTTCTTCTGAACACACAGGTTTGGCTTCTTCAGGTGGATTCCTATTTCTTCAACTGTATGTAGATGAACTCGTAAAGCAAAATTAAGATTAATAGAAATGCGATAAATAGTTTTAAATGCTGTATTAACATCAACTTTATGCTCACTATCTACACGGTGTGCTAAAACAGAGCTACGAGTAGATTCTGTTTGTCCCTTTCTTAAACATACATATCACCCCCTTGACATGTTGATGCTGACTAATTAATGTTAACAAAGATATCGCTATTTGGTTATATATATATATATTAGAGTAGAGCCAGAGATGTGGAAAAGTAAATATTTCTTCTTCTTTCTGTCGTTTTGCTTTCAAAGTGTTTAAATTGAAATGAGAAAGCATTGGGATTGCATATTATTAATCTTTACAGATCACAACGGTTCTGTTTCTAATTTCTGTGATTTAACATAACCAGACTACAGAGTACCATGTGGTTAACTGATCTGAATCTACAACAGTAACTTACACCTTGCTACATTTTTGGATTTAAGTATCAGATATAGCTGTTTGCTACATCTTCACATTTCATGTATCACCTAAAAGATAGCTGTGTAGTATTCTGCTGCAGTGTGAAACCTAACGATTCAATTTCATACTCTATAACATCTACTTTATGTAATCAACTGAGTAGCATAGCGAGCCCTCACATTTTAAGTGCGGCTTAGTGCATAAACCATTTCTGAAGTGATTAGTCGAACGTGCGACATAGGAGACGAGAAATGAACCGCAATTTACATAAAGCAACTATGCATACTCAATCATACTTAATTAAAACCCAGAGAATTGAATGAAGAATCCTCAGATAATGTTGAATTAACCAGTGTTAAATTCAGTTAAATCCAGTTTTTATTTAAAAACGATGTCTTCATATCAATCTCCTAAACGAAAATTTAGCAACTTCAAAGATGACATTCAAAATATGCGTGTAGAATAACCTTACCAAGCGAATTACCTTATAAAAACGAAGACTAGTTGTAATAAAAGGAAATAAAGGAGTAGTTTCCACTCGGCTATACATAAGCCAACTAGTACTTTACCTTAAACCCGCATCTGACCTATAGTTTAACCTACCAATTTCATAATTAAGTGGTTGGCCGAACAAACAGAAAGCGCATATCATTGTAAGATTTGTAGGTGCAAATCTTACGTTATTTAGAATAAATACCATAATGCTCAAAAAGGAAAGATAATTTAGGCCTACTACTAAAAAATACTAAAGAGACTGTCAGCTTCAAGAGTTACTGAAGATAAAAGTTTATATATTAAACACAGCACAATAATCAAATGAGCAATCATATCTCTATATACTTACTAAGAACTATCTTTTCTATAACTAGTGAAAAAATATATTTAAAGTGGGCTTACCGACTCGATTCATCTTCTGAGTCGAAAAAGCTTGTGGATTCCAGATCAGAACTCATCATAGACGAAGAAGTTTCGTAGTTTTGAATTCTTTGACCCAGTTTTGCTAAACGTGAACCTGGAAACAAATTAACCCATTAAGAATTTCAATCCACAACAAACCAAAATACATAAACGCACAGGTTAGGTTGCCTAGTCTTACATTTTCGTTCTTCAGTAAAAACAAATTATCAATGACAGAAAAAATGAAGACAACGGTTATGAATCAATCAGTTTCAGCTGCCATATGGGTTTCCTGTAGGGACGAATTGATGTTGCCTGCAGCAGATCTTGAAATGTGTATCCATTGATGGTCACCCACAGAGAAACCTAAGTAAAACTTAACATCCACCCTGGACCCCTGTGTTGGTTATTAGATGCACATGTTACTGAGATCAAACAATAGGCAGTATTGAAGAGATCATATATGGATTGATATAAGAATAAAACTTGTGCACTGTGGTAGAGTATAATTCCATTATGGGTAAATTTTTGTTTTGATAAAGTCTCACAGTGTTATACAGTAATGTTTACATTACTGTATAACACTGTGAGACTTTATCAAAACAAAAATTTACCCATAATGGAATCATATATGGATCTCATGTATTAGCAGAGTTTAGCCGATTATTCCCGGGACATCAAGAACGGTAAAGATAAAAATGTTCAATAATTAACTGATACCTGCCGGACAACATACTACTTAAAGAATAACGCTACAGCACTTTAGAAAATGAATTCGGCGTTTGAGTCCACTGGGGTGCAGTGAAGTCCGAATAATGAGTCCCAATTAGCAAAAAGTAGCACACCTTGAGTTTCATTGCTAACAGTCACCCGATAAGTATTATTACAGACCTTATAGGAAGACAAATTTGAGTTTGGTCCAAGACTCAAATCCAACCTTCATACACATAAAATAAAAGGTAACCACGTTTTATATGCATTAATGACAACACCAATATACTTTTACTTTCATAAAAGCCCAAATTAGGAAAGATCATTTCATTTTTCATACTTGGTTGACATTACGAACATTAAAACGAATAAAGTAACCAATACTAAGTTTAGTTTCAGTAGTAATTTTCCTCAGTTAGAGGCTATGTTTGGTGCACGTCAAGTATACACCTAATTAAGAAACAATGCCATCTTGAACAAGGAAAAAATTTGAAATAGGGACATTAAACCGATGATAAAAAGCGCTTAAAATATCGTCAAAGGCCAAAAATTTAGTATTTCTCACCCGGGAGTTACGATAAAATCGCATGTAATTTAAATGAATAGAAATCTGTAGTAGGCACTACGCGATGTAAATAATTTAGAGAATAGTTCAGTACAATCTCTAAAACCGGTGTGAACTTTGTCTCCATACTAGATGAACATGAAAACATGGTCATGTTAATATTTCAAACAAAAGTTTTTAAATAAACAAAACGTATGAGTGAATGGGATATAGAATGACCTTAAAGCAGTTTCATTAAGCTAAAACAATAGAGCTGGTAAGAACTAGCAATTCAGTTTTAATTTATGTTCTGGATAATGATTCATATATGTTCTGGGGTAGTTACAGAGAAAAAACATGGTTGTTCAAACCTGAAAAGACTGGGGTGTAAGGGTGAAAACCCATGAATCATTGATGGAATGAAGTGTCTAGATTAATACCTACCTGAATAAAAAGCTTAATAACAATTTTTTTCTCTAAAAACTAGCCAGCAACATGCAATATCAGCTGTTAACTAAATACATGGTTACATGGGTTCTTTTTAAAACTGAACCAACCATTTCTTACAGTTGTAAGACAACAAAGTATGTGGTAAAAGTCGGTGCTATTTAAAAATTATTTCATATCTGATTAGTTACACTAAACAAAATAAAAATGTAGCTGCTATTTTGTTGATATACTTCTTACATAATTTGAGAAACAAAGCTAACTTAACATTGTACTGCTGTTTTCATTCCTTGCGTTCTGAGTACAACACAAGGCTTCAAGTTTTAAAGTTTCAGTAGTGATAGTGTTTTTTTAAGGAGTAGGGTTGCTAACCTAAAGCCCAACCTTCCCTGTTTTTCAGGCCAACTAACATCTAGTAAACTAGACAAGATTTCAGAATCTGAACGTCCCGAGTGGCTAGTGAACAACCAACTACTAAACTGCTTACTTATTTAATTCCTGTAAAGCCTTAAAAGGCCATTGATTCATATCTTACTCAGCGAAATTGAGAACAGGTAATTGAGTGGCGCAATAAATGAAACATTTACTTGATACAACTCTATGCGTGTTCAATATTGTAATCTGAACGAATAACGTCTGCACCAAACTTCAGTCTAGTTCTAATCTCAATGAAATTCATATTAAACAAATTGTGACGAATCTATTCTGGAGGAGAAATAAGGCAGGTGTGAAAAGTCTGGGTTTTTTTTCATTTTAAGTATTTCCGCGAGAGGTTAAATTGAGTGTTCATGTTATTTCGTAACCCTCTAAAAAAGCGCAATACAGTAGCTAGTTCAATTTATGTAAATATATTTCCCAATATAGTTTATCGACTCGCTAATTTCTTAGACATACAAACTAATATCTTTTATACTCTGTTTTGAACGCATACAGTTTATTTAAAACTGAATAAAAGGCATAAAAAATTAATACACCGGTAAAATTTGTACTGATGATGAAAAAGGTAGGATTAAACTTTGAATGTAATCTCTCGGCCAATAACACAAGATTGGGAAGCTATTTAATTATTTTTACTTCAAGTAACCAATCTAAAGATTCAACATTACTTGTTACTCTATAATTTCTTTTCTTGTCTCCCGACGGTTACATTTAGTGCAAAACTGAGAACTAATTAAGTTAGACTAAAGACTCAACTTAAGCATATAAGATTATGTTGTTAGTTAGTTTGTTTTTCAAATTAACATTGCTTACCGTGTTTGTAATTGTTGAAATTCTTCAGAGGAGGGACACGATCTATAAAAGAAAATAGATGCAAAAGCTATTGAAAATGTGTCATGAGATAAATACACTTTAAATAACCTTAAAAGTAACTAAGTAAAATATATCTGTACTCATCAATTGCCAATTAAACACAAAATTCCAGCTATATCTTTTATATAATGGCTGCAGATATTCTAGTGGTTTTGTCGGCTTATATGTTTGTGTTACTTTCATTACAGCTTTCAGTATTGTCCTCGACAACATTTTCATGAGGAACCTACGCCTTTTACACGATATCAAGTAAACTTTTAGGATTTTCAAATGCTCGAAACTAGTTTGGTCAACAACACAGAAAGAAATCAGTTTTATTATAAACATATAAACTGCTAAACTCTGTCTGAAACAAAATTTAAGCAGATGTTAAAAACTTATCACTAAACTATAAGCGAAACTCATTCGTTTTGTACTATTCAGTGGTTTACAGGTATGATGAAGTGACAGACTGTTATCAAGATTAAACCTAACGCTGTTTTACATTATCACACTTGACAACAGAGGAGAAAGCTTCAAGATGCAACCACATTTGTTGATAATTATGTGCGGCGGTAATAACTATTAACAACAAGTGCTACAGTGGGGAGGTAATCACAAATTTTCCTTGTATTCAAAAAGTCTAGAGTTTACAAGTACCGAAAATTGTACCATTTTTTTAAATTTATACACACATTCACAATACCACTTAACTTACCACCGCTATACACTGAATCCGTTTCAACACATGTATCACATTCCTCCAACCCGTGACCTGTCGTACCTATGGCATGTTCTTGTTCACTGGGAATTTCAGTTTTAGATGCACCATGAGCATTGTCAGAATTTTTGTTGAAGCTGGAATAGAATACATTTTACATTATGAAGTGAGACGAATGAAAGTTATGACCACTAGAGATTTTGAATGAAATCTTTACTAATCAAAAGCCAAAGAAATAGCATACGTGTCAAAAGACAAAATCATCCTAAATAACTGAACGAATAGCATAGACACATAAGCTATATCTCCGCAACATTTCGTTCAACAAACTGATTTAAGCTACTTCAAGTAAAACTTTGCGGAAATGTGGCTTAATTATTTAGGCACTAAATTTTCAGTCGATAGACCCACTGGTTCGAACCCTGCTTCACCTACTTTTACCTCAGCAACTAGGTAGTCCCCCCACCCCTCATACAGTAATTAGCTCTGGGAGTCGTACATGGAAAATGTCTCAGGTAACTGAGTTCCAACGAAGAGGAAATTTTTGAATGTCACACACCATGGAAAGTATAAGTCGATACCAATTCTTTTGTATTTTGTGACCCATTTCTACCTGCCTATCTGAAGCATTTCTAAAAATCAACATGAACAGATATGGCAGCTTCTACTAGCAATCACGTGCCTCTGAGAGCACTATCGCAATAATTGGTTTGTAGCAGAACAAACACAACTACTTACATCAGACCAAAATGTTTAAGTTTTGTGTAGCGAATACAGTGAAGATATTCAGACATTTAGTCAAACAAATTTAAGTTTTTTATAACACACTATGTAACAAGTGAATGTTGTGAAGATGTAGCTCACTGGTTCGGGTAGCTGATTTCCAACTACTAGACAACAAATTAGAAATGTTTCAATCGTCAAAATTTGGGAAGGCAGGTGGTATCATCTGCTTTCGAATAAAAAGGTTGACTCAATACAAAGTTCGTGAACATGCACACAGTTATCTAGTAAAATTACTTTCACTTGAGTGGGGGTTCATATGAAAGATTACTTCAACCAATAAACTAAAGTGCATACATAACGCACTTGATTTCATAAATTACAGATATTTTTTAATCATTTTGAATTCAATGTAACTTTTATGCTATGTGAAACAGCACAATAAAAAGCAAAAGATTAGGAATCCTTTGCCTGCAGAGACTATCCTGAAACCAACAAGCCATTATGAAGCTTTCCTACACCATGGTTATTGTCACTTAATACCAAAATAGCACTTCAAATAAACTTAACAGCTCCCAAAACAAAGCTTAGAATTTCAGCGCACCCACGAGAAAAACTGTGGAACTATTACATTTCCAAATGAACATAAAGGTATATATATATATATATATAGATGAGTGACCAATTAATCATCGGTCCATACCAAACTAAGAAAGCTATTAATGTTACAGGACACCCCCCCCAAATTCAGACCAGTGATTTAGGGTTGAAAATGTAATCTGACGCCTGGGTTTTGACTTAGTGAAACAGTTCCAATGCTTCGTAAGTATTTACCAAGTGAAAGAAAAAAAATTCCATATAAATCTAGTGCATTCTACTTCATCCATTTATGAGGAAGTACTAATCATTCTTGACTTATGTCAATTTTAGGTGACCATTTGCAGTTTTGCATAGTTTTAGTGTGTACATTATCCTGAAGAATTTAATCAGTCTAAAAATACATTTGGAAGTGGCAGTCGATAACAATACAAATCGGAATTAACCGTCGCAACCCTTTTGTCTTAAAATCACGATGCATCACAGTGACTTCGCTAGAAAAATCCGAATGCGAGACAGAAAAAGTCATAAGGTCTCAAAAACCTGGCAAATGAGGAAAGCTATAACAAACTCAGGATGATATCCTACTAAGTGTTTAGCTACGTGATCTCCGACACTCATAAGGTGCATCCACTTTCCATATCTATGTACACCTAGGAAATCTGATACGCAACTGCTAAGGGCTCTAAATAATAAACATGTGCACCATATCCCTGGAATGTTGATAAGCATGGTTGTAAACCAAAATAAAATTATAGGGATAGATTAATATATAAATCTTGGGGAATTGTAACCAGATATCGACATTATCCTGAAAGCCCCACAGTTATCTCGCTCCTTCATAAATTATGCCGAAACTACTACCTACTGCCTCAAATTTCCCAAAAATGATTACATTGCTGTGAATGACTGAATTAAACATTACTTTCCTATTAACAGAAGTCAGACAAAAGATACCCAGTTTTCACATGGACTTACTTTGCAGAACTCTTGTTTTGACTTGAAAAGTGGTTTTCACCTGTCCCATTTGAGTGATTATCAGACTTTGTGCTACTATCTGCAGAAACCAGCTACGAAAAATATTTAAAGATTCGACAGTCGTAATTACCCAGGAAATAACCTTCCCGTTGAAACATGGTAATCTTGCGTCATCATCTGTTATTTCCTCCTTTACAACACTAGAACAAAGAATATAAAATTTAATGTTGATGCAACCCAACCCGAAATCAGCATCAACCGACTTGAAGAAAAACTTGTAATTTGGTCTGTTTAGTGCATTTTTGAAGTCACCCAAAGTAACAGTGTTTGGGCACACTGCAAGTTTAACTAAGTAAGGTGTTTCTTCATCATCTATGTGATAAATAATCTTTGTATCGTCCATCTGGACTGCTCGTGTTAGGACGTTTTCATAATAGGACCAGTAATGAATTTTCTCCCTTGATCGTTTTAAACAATGATGCAGCAGATAGAGTGCTTATTATTTTTATGCTAATTTGTTATATTTGCAATGAAAATTCTCAGCTAAATGATCAGGCTCGAGCCTTTTATATTTCAATGGAAACATTTGTTTCTGTTTTTAATGTTTTTAGTTCAGTAGCCAAATAAGTCATACTGAGAGTTCAGCTGAGGGTACACCCCTAGGTCTTGTCGAATATCCTCTTAACAACGGCAGATTACCATAATGTGTTGTGTAGCACAACGAGATATTGTCCTCTGATGTTTTCTGAGTACGAATAAACTCAAGTGCTTCAGACTTTCTTACTGCATATATCTGTTCTTTCGAATCGGAGAACACTTAGTACGTTTTTCTCCAACATGTGTGTTTAAGTATTTTACATCTGTAAAGGTATGTTTTAAATGAAGGCTGTATAGTGTTTACACGATTAACGATGGTTATCATTTCATAGAAGTCAAAATAAATTTCAGACCAGTGTTGTTCTTACTGGTGACCTATTTACTCTATACTTCCACTGGTTTTGTTGCTCATAGACGCTGCTTCTGAAGCCAGACCACCAGTAGCAGAACAGTTATGTCATACCTTGAAAGTTACTCATATGATCCCATCCAAATCCTAATACTATGGTAAGGAGTACAGTAGGTCAATAAATGTCACTGAATATTCTACCATTTATTTTTAAAAATTGAGAAGAAACACTGTTTACACTGTCACCGTTTACACGTTCCTAGGGAGAAAATACTGGGTTTTCTTGAACCACTTGTTCTGAATATTGACAATGCTCTAGTGTACACTGCCATAAAAATGACTTATCTGCAGCTCCACACCAGTTAGGCGTCAGCTTTGTTGAGTTCATTACGATGGTATTGGTGGATCTCTATCAGGCAGTGCCTAAAATCTCAAAGCCAGCAGTTCATTTGACTTCACTTCCTTAATTATTGGTAGAATTCAGTATGCTTGCTTGTGAACATATTTTCTTTGATACATGAAGTAACACGCGCCTTATACTATACTTTATTATCCACCTAGCACATTTTACTGTTAGAGTCCCAACGTAAGATTAATTTAAGAATGATTTGACATATAACGTAATTACTGTCGCTAAGATTGTCACAGGTGTTAATTCATTTTACAGCAACCGTCTGCAGATGTGATTAATAATTTGGGGACGCTAGCAAGTCACACCGAAATATGAGGAGGACAGAAATCAGAGGTTTGTATTGAGCAGAAATATTGATGACATATACAATGTTTAAAAATAAGTAATAATCATTTAGAAGTACTAAGTTATCATAAAATTCACTTCCTTGTGACTTGTCGTCCCAAATATTTACAATACATAACATATGGATGATCCAAATAATTTCCAACCAGAATGCTCATCTTAAATGTTCGTGTCTGTTTCTAACCTGCAAATGAAGATTATTAAGGGAAAAATCGAGGATACAATTGCTCCATGGATTGTAATTTAGTACAATAGATTTAAAGGATGAAATGTATTTCCAGACGTAAAATCTTTGCAATTAGATATTACGTTTTCTGTCGTAAGATTTATATAGACTCCCTGTGAATGTAGTTGAAGATTGAACGATCAATTCATGGTTGCAAGCAGGAAAGTAAGTGATGCTGAGTTGCTTGTTAATTGTAATGATATGTATGATGCTCAGCATGATTAGTCTGTTGTTCATGTTTCGCCGTCTAGGGATAATAGGAATATTAAGCTTCCTAAATTTGAACCTCGGTGTTTCTACGGGAACCCAGCTGATTACTTACAGCTTGTAAAGGAGTTTGAAATCCTGTTGAGTAGTTTTTTATTGAATGATGAAATGGACTAAATGTATTTGTTGAATTACTGCACTGGAGTTGGTTCAAGAGCTATACAGTGCTGTAAGTTCATGCCCCCTTACGAAGGATACTCTGAGGCTATGAGCATACTGCGTCAAAGATTCGGAAGACCTTCGATGATTGCAAAGAAATTATCTGAGGCTGTTAAGGGTAATGGTAGTAAATTACAAGATGACTCCAAGGCACTTTCTGAGTTTTTGGATAATCTATTGACTTACAAGAATGCATTGATTTCGATGAATTGCATGAGTGATCTCAACTCAAGTTCCGTCATAGAGGTGATAGCGAGACGCCTTCCTAATCGACTGCAAGGGAAGTGGGTGAAGATAAGCTCCCGTATAGAGGATGAAGGTAATGTCAATGGAGTTGAAGATTGAACGATCAATTCTTGGTTGTTTGCTTAAAATCAACTTCCCCAATTTTCGCGGAGGCATCAATACGACAGTCATCGTCTCATCGGTCGCTGTTCAGAAAGAAGAGTAAAATATCGTCAGAAGTAACAATGATTTATTATTGTAATATTAGTTTTCAGACCTTAGTTGCTTAGTTCGCTTATTCCTTTTATATGTTGGTGTAACAATACAGAAATATCAAACGGCAGATCGGTGTTTTGGTTTTTGCGTCCGTTATAACTAAGCGTTTCTGATAAATCTTCGAAGAACAGCGTGGGCCCGAGCGTAGCGAGAGCTGGGCATTAACGGTTTATGAGACGTGATTGACAGTTTCTGACGATAGAAACAGATCTGGCGGATTGAAACAGTTGGTGAAAGTTTGGATAGTCGCCGTTCATTTTTCCTGGTGCCGGTCAAGTCCTCTTTGAACAAGCAATATCTGGAACTTTTTGGAATTGGGTCAAGTTCAACAATGCCTGGGTCAAAGAAGGGACAGAGTGTCTTGGATGCAAACAGGAAAGTAAGTCATGGTGACTTGTCTGTTAATTGTAACGATGTGTCTGATGTTAAGTATGACATGGTTGATGTTACTGTTTCGCCGTTCAGGGATAATAGGAACATCAAACTCCCTAAATTAGAACCACGGTGTTTTGATGGAAACCCGGCTGATTATTTACAATTTGTAAAGGAGTTTGAGATCATGTTGAGTAGTTTTTATTAAATGATGAATTGAAGTTAATGTATTTGATGAGATATTGCACTGGAGATGCTGCAAGAGCTATACAGTGCTGTAAGTTTATGAAGCCAAAAGAGGGCTACTACGAGGCTATGAGCATATTACGTCAAAGGTTTGGAAGACCTTCGATGATTGCAGGGAAATTATTCGAGGCTGTTAAGGGTAATGGTGGTCAATTACAGGATGACTCCCAGGCACTCACTGAGTTTTTAGATAATTTGCTAATTTACAAGAATGGAATGATTTCGATGAATCGAATGAGTGACCTCAACTCGAGTTTTATACTAGAAGTAATAGCAAGACGTCTACCTACTCGACTGCAAAGGAAGTGGGTGAAGATAAGCTCCCGTATGGAGGATGAGGGTATCGAGCCAAAGTTTGATGATATCCTGAAACTGGTAAATACTAGTGTCAATCAATCTATGAGCAAGTTCGCCAGTCTATTAGATCTCACCCCTAGAATAGAGCAGTCTGAGATCAAAATGCAATCATTGATGACGAGTAGGCCTCAGAGAGGTGGATATCGAGAAAGCTCCATGATGTCTAGTAATGCATATAGACCTAGTGAGTGTAACAGGTTTCGTAGTACATCCTCAACAGATAAGTTACAAGATGCAAGACAAACACGGTTGTGCTTGACACGTGTGCAAGAGGTGCATACAGAAGTGAACTGTGAACCGGTGAGCAAGTTCAGTGATAAGCTAAATGTAAACTCCAGGTCTGACTCCGAATTGTGTGACGATAACGGTGTTGTGAAGAAGTCTGTAGTTGCAACTGGTAAGCCGTTGTTGAATAGAGTGTCACAGAATAGAGTTACTGCTTCAGAGTGGAGTTCTGACTCCACAAGTTTACAAAGTATATCTAGTCAGAGTGAAGTTATAAAACCTTTAATGATTTGTGAGGAGGAACCAAAATTGTCTACTTCTGTTATTAAAGAGTTTGAAAATGATGAACTTGACGGTAAATTGAATATTTGTGGTAATGATCATGATAGTGCAGATTTGTCTTTGGTTGATCATGATGAGATGAGGGATATGCCTACTACTGCTAAGTTAAATAAAGGTTCTGTACAACTACAACGTGAAGTAGAATTGAACGCAGATGCAGTTCCAGAAGGTGTGCATACTTGTGAGACAGTCAGTGTAATTGATCAGCGTGTAGCCCACCTATCATCAGATGATAGTGCTAAACCCGAACTAGTAGTGAAAGACAGCAGTGGTGGTAATCTTGCAGTTGGACAACTATCTGAAAGCCGAACAAGAACAGCTTCTGATCCACCACTAAGTTCATCACCTTGTGTCACTCAGTCATCGTTGGTGCTGTCATCCACAATGAAACAGATACCCATCAACTCAAGTATCTTGTGCAATGACTATGGTAGTATCAGTTCGTTTGAAAGGACGAATATCAATGGTCAGTTTAGTGTGGATAAGCCAAGTGTAAAGGAGAGAGTAATTGTTAAATTGACTTGCACGAATAAAGGCATTTCTAGTTTCAAGTTACTATTTGAATGTTATTATCTTTGGTGTAAATTACTCTGTTTCTACACTTGGTTGATGAGATATGTCGTGTGTTTGTTGGTCATCTATATTCTACGATACAATGACATGGGCGTGTTGCCGTTCAGATTTGAGGATATAGCTGATAGAAGGAAGTTAGCAAATGAACTCTGCGACGATTTTCCAACCTAGGGCGTCAACCTGAGAAGGGTTGTAGGCGTACTGCTGTAAGTCCTACAATTCTTCAAAGGGTAGCGCATCAATGAGCAGTCCAATGTGCTTGGTGTATGATCTTGTACATATGTTCATATTGTATATACTGAATTGATATCATCTGTCATCTAGCTGTTGGTAATTCTGTTTGTGTCCGGACGACTTCCACTTGGATCATCAACCTGAGAAGGAATGTAGGCGTACTGCTGTAAGTCCTACAGTTCTTCAAGGGTAGTTTGTCGTGTCAGAATCCACAACATTTGATGTGTTGATTGTACATATGTTTGTGTTAAATAGTTGTGTGAGTTCCAATTGATGTAATTGTTGGTTAATCTTGTTTGTGTCCGGACATTCCACAACTTACAA